TGGCTCAAGTAAAGGCAAATAATGAAGGATGGATTAATCAACATCTACAAATGTAATCAGTTTTTTGTGTTTGACTTCTGGAAAAAGTTTGAACTTTGATCAATTATTTGGCAACTGCCCCTGCATTTAGTTGCAGCAAGAGTTAAAGGGGTTCTTCTAAAAGTTCAGCCTGCAGCCTGATTGGCCAGGGATGATGAAGTTATTCTCCAATCACCATTTCCTATCACACACTCCTCTGTGCCTGAATGTTTTTACTGAGTCAACAAAGAGGACTTACAGACCATCTACTCTGTACGCTTGACATTCACAAAGGGATATATCTAAATACCATAAAACAACTTGAATTGGTAGAACAGAAAGTGCCCTTTAATCCTTCTCTGCACACAAGTGGGGCAGGGGGGTCACTGAGTGCTTTTGCTAACAGGAAGCATGCAGCACATGCATCTGACTGGCTTCAACCTCATAGTTTAAGCCAATTTCTTCTAAAACACGCGGCTTATGATCCGCATCTGGGCCATAATGCAATTTAATTCAGACCGTATGATCGATCACCCCCACCCCCACCCACCTACCCAGTGCACTAGGGGCAGTGGGAGTGGACCTTGCCTTTGTAAAGCTGATGGAATTTGGCCCTGGGAGGAAAATAGTTGGACACCCCTGTTATAAAACATCAAACATTAACTATGTCATTGGATCCTTCATCTTGGACTGTGGTTTGAGGCTTGTTATTGATGAGAGTCGGCTGAATGAGTTTTGTTAATATACATTTTTTGGGCCCTATAAGTGACAAAGATACAACACATCACCCACCGACCATCACACATGCTCACAGTCTACGACAGCGCCTGCATATCTGTGTTATGGATGGTCTGCATGTACTGTGAGCACAGCCTCTCCTTTTCTTGTGCATCACCCACCTACCGTCACATACACTCACAGTCTATGATAGCACCTGTGTATCTGTCTTATGGACTATCTGCATGTGCTGTGAGCACAGCCTCTCCTTTCCCTGTGCATAACCCCAACCACCACACACGCTCACAGTCAATGATAGTGCCAGGGTATCTGTGTTATGGACAGTCAGCATATGCTGTGAGCACAGCCTCTCCTTTCCCTGTACATCACCCATACGTCACACATGCTCGCAGTTTACGACTGTGCTTGGGTATCTGTGTTATGGACGATCTACATGTGCTGTGAACACCGCCTCTCCTTTCCCTGTGCTTCTCTTGGTTAACGTTGCCTGCTTGGCCCTCCCTTTGCACAGCTACATCATGAGCACCCCCAATCTGCTGCGTGTGGGCAACAAAGAGAAGGTATTTGTGGAGGCCCAGGAATACACTGGAGGTAACATCGAGGTGGAAATTTCAGTGAAGGACTTCCCAGCCAAAAACAGGGAGTTCTTCAGCAAAAAAACCACTCTCACCTCTCAGAATAAATTCCTGGATCTTCAGGAGATTGAAGTGAGTCCATTATCTTTATTCTGAAATACACATTTCATGAATTAGAATTTAGTGATTAATTGTCATTGTTGACACACCACAATGAAATGTGTTCTCTGCATTTAACCTATATGTGACATAGCAGGGGGCAGCTAATTCAGCACCCAGGGAGCAGTGCTTGGGGGCGGTACCTTGCTCAGGGTACCTCACAGGTCAGGGATTCAAACCCCCAATCTTTCAATTACAAGTGCACGTCCCTAACCATTAAGCCACCACTGCCCACATGAAGACCCCCTTATTAGAAAGTAATGCCTGGATCTAGACCAGACTTTCCTCCTCGGGCTTCAGCTCTGCTTAATGTCCTTTGTACTCCATTGAAGGACTTGCTCTTACTCACCCTCATTTCCATGTCAGTCATCAAATGTTTCCTGCTGAATGTCAGCCACAGTATCACCTTCCCTTCTTTTCTTGTCCAGCACCCGTTTGTTATACATTTTCTGTCCTGTTATGCATAAAGGAAGGACCATCTTATAATGATGCATTCTTGCTTCACTCTAGATCAGAGAAGATGCATTTGATGCAACATCAACTAAAAAACAGTATGTGTACTTACAAGCAAAGTTCCCCCAACATCAACTGGAGAAAGTAGTTCTTCTGTCCTTCCAAGCTGGCTACATTTTCGTTCAGACCGATAAAACCATCTACACACCAACCAGCACAGGTAAGCTGAGAGATATATTTATTATAAGAGCAAAATAAAAGCAGTTTTTAAAAATTGTATTCA